CAGGCCATTTTCTAAGAAAATGTTGAGAGTTGTGTTTCATTATTCAGGCCCTGCAATTAATTCTCAACACCTTATTATTTTCCAAACAAGGAAACTAGATGACGGACCTTACTAAGACTCATCTCTACCAGAAGGGAAGACTGGGGAAGACCCAGGGGTACCAGCTTCCATATCCTTTACAGTATAGAATACCCAGGGGTCAGGCATGGCAGTGTAAGACAGTAATTCCACCTACTTAGGAGGGAAAGAAGAGGATGGCCATTTGAGACCAGACTAGACAGAAAACAGCAAAGACTTTATCTCAGAATCAATCTGGGCAACATGGTGAACATCTGTGATCCCAGTAACTCAGAAGGCAGAAGCAGGAGGATCACAGTCCAAAGCTGGAAGAGATAATAGCATGGGAGACTCTAATCTGACTTATTCTGAATGTATCAATGGAGTTTTGAGAGGTAAGGATTGAGAGATGGTGACAGTCACTTAAAAAAGAATAATGTAGAAGGTCCCTGAGGAGAACTCAGTTAATCCTCTCCATCCCTCTTTTGAAATTAGGAGAAGGCATTTGTGTATTAACATACACTACAATTATTCGTCTGGAACACAGCTTAGACAAAAGGAAAATGGAGAAAATAAAAATATAAACTGTCCCCCCACAGTGCTGTTGGCAGAGGAAGTAGAGAAATGTCCTGCCATATCCCAGACACTTATCTTATCTGAGAAGCCTAGTTAGCCTGGGGCCCCATAAAAAGACCCCCAGGGAGGCAAAATGATTCAAAAAAACAGCCTGGATCTCAGCCAAGCAGCTAAACACAGTTCTCTCATGCTAGGTAGTGGCTCAGAGCCCACCACCAGGGAGTGTTGGGAGGATTAAATAAACCCATGTCTGCAAAAGCCACCTACACAGAGCCTGGCACCAACAGATGCTCAGAGCAAAGCAGATTTCTTTCCTGCTGTGAGGGTTCAAGGGGGTATCTGAAGACTACATCTTTCTGCCAGAACAAGTAACTCCTCAGGGCTTCAAGAAACAAGGTAGGCTTCTAAGAGAGAAAATGACCCCTCTCCACTGTTCAACTGTGTTGTCTCACCAGGAACCCTTAGGATCCACTGTTTCCTTGTCAGCCTATCTTAATTGCAACACCTCCCATGACAATCTTCCACCATTCCACTTTTGTGTTCTGAATTCCCGTGTGTTTTTCTCAGCCTAGTATCTACCTCAGCTTTAGAATCAGGTGATGTGAAGAGCATAAATAGAATACTGCACATTGGCCACCGAACTCATGAAAGAACTCCTGAAGCAATTTGTTCTTGAGAAACAGCAGCTCCAATCCCAAAGAGTCTACTCCTCAAGGCAAGTAAGCCATGTGTACATAACCCAGAGCCCACATGTTCGCTGAAGTAGAGCAGAGGGTCGCAAAACAGCTCCCATCCCATTGGGGAGGAATTCCTCCTTCCCTCTCCCTCCAGCCCCCACACTTCTTTTCACTTTCTTGCACTCATCCCCAATGGCTTCAGTGATGAACCAACCATCTAATCATGTGGAATACCAGGAGATTGGATAAAACCATCTCTCAGTGCCCATCATCTTCCAAGCTCATTAAGAATGAGCACCACAGCACTTTGAAAATACATCTCACAGAAAAGCAGAATACTAATGATAACTAATAATAGCTCTCAGCCTGGGGAGAAAGCAGGTTTTACAGAGGTAAATACAATCACCTGAGGAGTACAATGAGTCTACTGAGGGAAGCAAGTCAGCCTCCACACACTTGTGCTATTTGTACAAGTGATATTCTTTATTCAGCTTCTAAGTCACACCTAGCATTCCAAGTCTGTTTCTCTAACACAAAGCCCCTGGCAGCTTCTTCTCTTTAATATGTACACTACTATCTTGTCTACTGGACAAATATTTCAGCAAAGGGCTCTTTTAACAACAGGATCCAAATAGAGAGAGAAAAGTTAATGTAAGCTTATTGCTTGCTCATTCCTTCAGTATTCATTCCTTCAGCACCATGCCTAAGGCACTGAGATACCAGGGTGAATAAGATACAGCCATGTCCTCTAACTACACCCACACATATTTTAACAACAGAGTTACAGGTGACAGGATGGAGCTCTGTACAATCATTACCTTGGAGCCCCAAAAGACCAGAGGTAAAGCTCACTCTTCACCCAAGAGATAAGGAAGGGTGACTTGGCTGAAAATGCCCATTTCAGATTCATATCCAAGCATCATTTGCTCCACATTCTCTCACTAAGTGACTCATCTTCCCAGATACAAAAGAATGTATTTCTGGCAGGAAACATAGACAGGCTTAGGAGATATGGTACTGGCTGTGTAAGAGGCTTTTAATTGAGTTTTGTTGTTTTTTTTTTTCTTCTGCAGAACAATCTGCAATTATGGTTAAGCTTTTCTTCTTATCAGCTGGCTAATTTACAAATAAAAAAGAAATGGTAACCATTTTTGACCCTAAGGTCTATTAAATTTAAACATCTCCAAGTTGTAGCTTTGCTTTTGAAAATGTGTCTGGTAGACTTTGGAGAAGGTCTGGAGTTAGTTAATACTGTTATAATAATATTTTGAAAATTATATGATAGTTATAATATGATATCAAAATTGGGAGACCTGGGTAAAGAATCTAGGGGATGTGGTATGTAGATATATGACAATATATCTCTGTACTTGTTTTGCAACTCTTCCAAAATTTAAAGTTAGTTAAGAGTAAAAAGTGTCTCTGCTCTTTTCTGGCTCTTTCTCAGCTCTTTCCTTCTCTTCTCTTTCCCAGCTCTCTTCTCTTTCCTAGCTCTCACTTTCCCACCTCTTTCCCAGATGCTCTCTTTTCTAGCTCTTTTCTCTCTTTTCCAGCTCTTTTTCGCAGGCCTTTCCCCACCACATGGAGGACCAAGATGGCCTGGTGCCAGCCGGAACGGAACGATGAATAAACCTACTCCTTACCTGAAGAAAAAAAAAAGAGTAAAAAGCAAATATATGTAAATATACAGATGGTTACCTTTTAGTAGTTTAATGCTACTACAAGTGTCCACAAACTTATTACTAATCATTGACAAGCTGTAGAAGCCTTTAGAAACTTTTGTAACAATTTGATATTTCTGCAGTATTTAAGCATGTTGATTCTTTTGTAGAAATTTATTTTATTGCATATTTTAAGTGTCTGCAATAGGGCTCTCCAGAGAATCAAAGAGAATAAAGATATGTTTTTTGTTTTGTTTTGTTTTTGGGTCCAGTCGTGGGGCCTGAACTCTGGGTCTGGGCGCTGTCCCTCAGCTCTTCAGCTCAAGGCTAGCACTTTACCACTTGAGCCACAGCGCCACTTCTGGCTTTTTTCTTTTTGCTTATGTGGTGCTAAGGAATTGAACCCAGAGCCTCATGGGTGCAAGGCACGAGCTCTACCACTGAGCCACCTTCCCAGCCCAGAATAAAGATATATTTTTAATAGATAAGTAGACAAGATTGATGATAGATGAGATAGGAGAAAGAAAGAAACAAACAAACAAACAAGAAAATAAGGAAAGAAGGAGAAAATGAAGAGATAGAAGAAAAAAAGAAAATTTCAGCAGTTGACTCATGAAATTGAGGAGGCTTAGTGAATCTAGAATCTGATGGATTAACACTGTAGGCTGAGATTCAAGAAAGAGACACCATCCAAAGGCAATCTGACAGCAGAATTCCTTTGCACAAAGTCAGTCTTTGATTTACAGAGGCCTTCAAATAGTTAGATGAAGTCTATCATCCTTAAGGAAGATAATCTACGTTACTCAAGGTTAACTTTAATATAAATGTATCATCAGCAGCATACTTATCCTGTTTGGCTTATGTTACTAGTTGGAAAGTTGATTTCCCTTTTCTGTTCCTAGCTTTTTCCTAGCTCATTTTCTTTTTTTTGTTGTTGTTTGTTTGTTTGTTTGTTTGGGTCCGGTCGTGGGGCCTGAACTCTGGGCCTGGGTGCTGTCCCTCAGCTCTTCAGCTCAAGGCTAGCGCTCTACCACTTGAGCCACAATGCCACTTCTGGCTTCTTTCTTTTTGCTTATGTGGTGCTGAAGAATCGAACCCAGGGCCTCATGCATGCAAGGCAAGCGCTCTACCACTAAGCCACCTTCCCAGCCCCTCCTAGCTCATTTTCTATTGGGATAGAGAACAAGACCATGTTTATCTCTTCCTCCTTCACCCTTCCACTCCCCAGCCCTTTACAAAGCTCTCTCAGCTTCTTTTATCTACAATTTACTAACAGCCACATACAGTTGACACAATGCCTATCAAGCTACTGTCTTGTAACAGAGCCCATATTCCCTTTCCAAGGATAAACGCAAGCTTATCAGAAGGTATTTTTAAAACCACTTTCCTATTACACAGAACACCATGTTAGACAGAGGCACAGGGCGTGGTGCTCAAGAACAGGTGTCTGATGCCAGGATGGCAGAGCAGCCCCCAGCCCCCCCCCCCCCACTCCAGTTTCACCGGGCTGTGTTGAGCCTCTCCCTGGCTTTTGCAGGGACTTTTCTATAAGTCGGTTGTCAACAACTGTACTGCATTTGTTATACTTTAATCTGTTTGTGTTTTGAGGGTTAGGTGCATTATTCTTGTGACTATAGCTACTTTCTAAATTACCTATAGGGAGCAGCTGTTTGGAGCAGGTACCTCAGAAGCCACCTCCTGTGTTTAGACTCCCAACAGGCAAACAAGCTTCCGTGGAAAGACTGATAGATGGTGTTCAGTAAAAATTTAAAGCCTGGGAAAAGCACAGGCCTGGGAGCTAAGAACAAAGCAGTTGAATGATAGTTCCTTCTGGAAGTAAGAATAAGAGCTTTTTTTTTTCTCTTGCCTAGTTCCTGGGGATAAAAGTAAAGCCTAGACTTTGCTGTAATAGTGACTAATTCCCCATATGAAGGCCTCTTGCTTTTGCAAAGTAAATCACTGAAGAGGTAAATGAAAGAATTGACAGAGGAAGAAAGAGAAAACAGAAGACCAAATCTCTAAGTGTTACCTGCATTGCAAACCAGGAGGGAATTTTCAGAAGCAATGAGAGGGACCAGGCCACCCCCAGATCGCCTTCAGACACGTTTTCTTCCTTTCTGACTCACTAGGTTTCTTCAGGAACGCCTGGTGAGAAAGGATTATGCAGCAGAAGCAGGAGCCAGCCTTTCCTGGCAGCAAGGGGCACTTTGATTTCAGATTCTGCAAATCTTCAAGAACAGACTCAGTGTGCTCCAGTTCTAGGCTGGAGGCCAGCAGCAGCTGAGCTGCAGATGAGGCAGATCAGATGGGCTGTACTGTCAGGACTTTCCTGGGGCTACACCTCTCCGGAAGTTTGAAGATGTGGGGACAGGTTTGTCTTCAGAAACGTGTAAATGTCACCAGCCGGGAGTGGCAGATGCCAAGAGGCATCTGAAAACAGATTGCCATCTGGCAATGGGTTAGGCTTCCTGGGACACAGATTAGAATAGTTTGAAACAAAGTGGCGGAAGCAAAGGCTTAGTTTTTCATATATTGTTATCGTCTCTGGGTCATTTCCTGCCTTTGGAATTCATTTCCTTTCCAGGTTTAGCAAAGCCCCAAAAAGGACAAGAAAGAGGTTGGGGTTTGGCTGTGCCGCCAGCCTGTGGAGGGGCAGTTCTGCCTCTGTGCTGAGCTCTCTGCAGGGTTTGCAACCATCCTTTGCTCTCTGTCTGCTCACACTGAGCCAAGAAGGAGAAAACCTCAGGAATGGAGCTATAAATTAGGGAAGGGAGCCATCTCCAGTTGAATCAGATGAATCTTCTCATTCCTGGAAAACAGAAAGAAAAAAAGAGACTAGATTGGCAAGGGCAAAAATGACTATGTGAGGAGCTACTCCACACCAGGACCCTTTTCAAAATCATCTCCCCTCTCCCCTTGATGTATCTCCCCTTGGCCTGGGCCCTGACCTCCTGAGTCACCAGCAAGCCAGCCAGGTACACAGGACATTGGTATTTGCCACACAATGACCCTCTTTGTTATACTTAACTAGCTTTTATTTCACATTTTGTTCCAAAGAGGATTTAAGGCAGCAATAATTGCCTTTCTGGCAGCAGGTTTTAGGCTGGTTATGAGCACTTTGAAACTGAAATGAATCCTTATTGCAAAATCTCCCTGCAGCTCCCAGCATGGTGAGAATACCCACTGTAGTTCTGAATTCTGCGTCCACCCTGCCAAGCTGTGATGGACTTCTGGCTCAAAGGCTGCAAGAATCAGGCAAAATTTAGCACAGTCCCTTGGCCTTTCTCTGAAAAGTTTTGTCTCCAGATAATGATGCACCATCACCCTGTGTTCCCTCCAAAAAGCCAGCTCATACAGCCCTTTGCTGTATTGATGAACCTTGTATAACATGTCCTGGGCCTGCCTGTCTCTAGAATGAGAGGTTGGAGTTCACAGATTTGGAGGAAGGGCTAATTTTGACGCAATCCTCAGTCTATTCTAGTTAATGTAGCAGCAAGTGTGATAAGATGCCTTCACCGTTGTGATCCAGATCTCCCTAAAAGCAAGACCCAGAGCTACCCTGGGGTCAGTTTCAACAGTCTTTGCTCAAGAATGAAGATGTCATCACTTTGGATTCTCATTGTGACTCAGTAATCAACCCAATTAATCTTCCCAAAGAGCTCTGTCTCATCAAGTGTTTGCAGAAGTGGTCCCCAGTGACCTTCCCAGCAATTGTTTCTGCAAAGCAAGTTCTCAGAGGAAGGAAGTAGCTAGGGCAGAAGTGGCTCTATAAATAGTAGGATCAGGAACACCTGTAGAGTCCATTTTCTAACAGTAAGAAGTCCACACCCCTAAGAACTGGAGGGCAATATGTTAAATGAGAGAAGCCTAGCACAAAAAGACAAATAGCACATGATCTGACACATACATGGAATCTAAAACATCGCTCACAGAAATGGAGAGCAAAATGGTGATCACCAGAGGATGGGGAGAATAGAGAACAGGGTGAATGTGTACTAAGTTAGAGTTAGTAGCTGAAGATGTCTACCTTTGTGGCAGTCCAGTGACTATGTAATAAGTATGTTCTAAAAATTTCATAAAAGTTATAAAAGGCCAGGAGCTAATGTCTCATAGTTATAATTCTGCCTACTCAAGGGGCTGAGTGAGATCTGAGGATCATGGTTCACAATCAACTCAAGCAAAAAGTCCATGAAAGACTTATCTCCAATTAAATATTGGAAAGCCATAAATAGAGCCGTGGCTCAAGTGGGAGAGGGCGAGCCTTGTTAAAAAGCTAAAGAAGAGCGCCCAAGCCTTAAGTTCACACATGCACACCCATATATACCAAACAAAGAAAAAACCTAAAAGAATAGACTTTGAATATATTTGCTACAAAGAAATGACAAATGTTGAGAAGATAGACACACTTACTTGATCGCACAGTGGCTATACAGATCAAACTATCACATATTTACTCTTATATGCCCAACTTTTATGTGCCAATTGCTTTTAAATTAACATCAAAAATAAAGTTCATTCTATAACAAAGAAGATGTCTTCCCTAGAGCCCCAAATTTCCTCACCAAAGAGCTTTCTGGCAGATTTAGGCACTATTCTTTCTAGGTCTGACAAATTTGTAAATAATCACTTCTAAGCTTTAGGGAATCCAATTTCAGGGGCCTAGATTCTGCATTTTATCAAGCCTGGTAGGTGTTCTGTGGCCTGAACTTTGTAGAGGATATCACATTAGCACAGATGAACATTGCACCTGGGTTCTAGGCCAGGCTTTGGCACTCTCTTAGACCTTGGGTGAGACCATTTCATTTGCAAGACTGAAGTCCTCAGGACTAGATGAAGTTCTACAAAAGTCTAGCTGGAGACAGGTTCTAAATTATGACACCAATGATCTCAAAAGGTCCAAAGGCCACAACTCCCCAAGTGTGCCCTGAATACTCACTGGTGTTCATCTAGAAGAAAAGCCTAGACTCTCACCAGGCACACTTGTAATCTTAGCTACTCAGAGACTGAGATCTGAGGATTGTGGTTCAAAGCCAACCCAGGCAGAAAATCTATGAGACTTTTATCCCCAATTAAGTGTCCAAAAACCAGAAGTGGTAGAGCACTAGCTTTGAGCAAAAGAGTTCAGGGACAGTGCCCAGGCCCTGAGTTCAAGCTCTATGACCAGAAAGAAAAGGAAGGAAGGAAGGAAGGAAGGAAGGAAGGAAAAAGCAAAAAGCCCAGGACTCTGTTATCCCAGGACTGCAGGTGTGGAACTCGAAGGTCTTGAGCTGCAATAACCATAACAATAACAATATTCGTCTTTGTCTTCTGCCATTCCCAAGTGGAGAAAAGAGATAAGGAGAAGACTAGGTGTACATAGTACTTTGTATGTTTTTTTTCCAATTCTCAATTAACAGTGGTATCATTTCTCCCATTTTGAAGATGAATTAAGGCTGCATGTGTAGGAGAGTGATGAAATGGACTCACTCGTAGAAGGCCCTGAGTTCGACCCCCAGAACTATAAACAACAACAAGAAAAACAACAAACTCATTCCTGAAAAGGCTGCTGTGGCCAAGCACTGGAGGCTCACGCCTATAATCTTAGCTACTCAGGAGGCTGAGACCTGAGGATCGCAGTTCAAAGTCAGCTCGAGCAAGAAATGAGATTCTTATTTCCAAATAACCACCAGAAAACTGGAAGTGGCGCTGTGGCTCAAGTGGTAGAGTGCTAGCCTTGAGCTGAAGAGCTCAGGGACCATGCCCAGGGCCAGAGTTCAAGTTGTTATGGCCTTTCTGAAGGCCTATATGTTTAGAGATTGAAACCTCTCTCCAGCCCTCTCCCACACCTTTCATCCGTTCAATTTCATATTCTCATTCCATTCTTGGCCCTTATCCATCATTGACTTCCATCCAATTCCTAACTGTGCTCATTTCTTATCTCTACAAGTTCTTGAAATCTAAAACATCATGCCACCACTTCTCCTGGTTCCAGAAGGCTTTTACTGGCCTCCAGAGCTGCTGACTTAAAGATCCTAGAGAACTCAGAGCTCGCAAATGATACACATGCATTTGTGCACTTACTGATTTGAACACATACGTATAGACCAACACACGTGCCACGTCTCAGTGGAACTTGGGGCAGAGATTCAGGAAGCCTGAGCCAGCTAGCGCCCTTCTATTAAGAAATGCCCCATTCAACCTCAACCTCCTAATAATAGCAATTATTCTGGGATGCTGGGCACCCCCTAGTGGGAGTAGCGAAAGAGAAGACACGCTGTTTTGATGCCCATCCACCCCCAACTTCCTGCCCCTGAGATGTCATCACCATTATTGGAAGGATTCATTCTGCCCATGATGACTGGACCTTTTGCCCCCATGAAACCCTCCTTGGCTTTGCAGACATAATGAACTAAAATTAGGCAGAAGGCAATTCAGCCAGAACTGCAGGAGGAACTTTCTATGGTGGTCAGCAACTTGCAACCCCGAAATAGCCTTTTAAGGAAAACTAAGGAAGACTACAGCAGGCAAAACAAGAGAGACTGTATTGAAAAGATACGTTTGGAAGTGAGGCGCATGAGGATTGGCTACCTCCTAGATTTCGTATGTGAATATGCACATGATTTATGTTAATACCGTGTGCTACATGGTACCTCTCCTAAGGCCGAGGAACCATCCAACATTTATCCATTTGGGAGTAAATATATGAAGCTCTGGCCCAGCAGAGCTCAGCCCACTTATGGACCCGGCACCACACAGGACTGTGGGATATTCTGAATATATGTATACTACCATCCATTCATTTAAGGATTTCTGCTATAGCCCCTATGACAGGAGATTGTGTGCAATTACAGCCCTATTATGTGGTAACCTAGAAAGCATTTTCTATATACTTGTAAAATACTAAGCCAGGGGATCTTGTACATCTTTAAGATCAGCCCCTATCTAATTTAGTCCCTTGTCCAAAAACTGCCTTAATAAAAGACAGGAAGATGACAAGAGGGTTAGCTCAGTGGTATGCCCACCAAGTAAAAACCCTGGGTTTGATCCATAGTCCAAGGTGGGGGGCGGGATAGAGAGTGGGAGAAGTACCATGTTTGAGTGCATCCACTAAGAATCCTTCTGGCCCTATTCATGGTCAAACATATAATTATATATTTGATAAGTTGTTGATTGGGCAAGTGTCAGCCAATTTGATCCCACAGCTCAATGTCCCTCAAAGACGTTATAATTACACAGTACCCACTTCCATGGACAACTCTGGTTGCTAGGCTTTTACTGGCTTCTCAGCTGAGGTCATCTGCTCATTAATGCCCATTCAACTTGGCCTTCTCTGATAAATTCCCTGAAACCTTCTTCTTTCTCTGCTAGGACTCCTGTCTCATTTTGAGCTTAGTGGCTTGGACAATCTAATCCTACAACTGTTTACAATGTTGATCCCTTTCATCTTTTCTTTCGGAGCCATTTGATGATACTCATCTTTCTGACAACCAAGGACTTTGGAAGAATCTCTTCCCCTCAGGCACTCTCATTTTTGTGTCCAGATTGGCAACACTCCAAACTCACTCAGAGGCATAGTGGACTGGGCACTCTCTGTGGAGGGCCCAATTGGACTCTGCAGTTCATTGGCCATCTGAGAGAAAGAAAAAAAGTTAAGGATGCTCCAGCTTGGGCAGCCTTTCAGGCTCAGACAGCAAAAGATGGAATTCCTTCTTGCATAATTTGGGCTTAAACACTTTTTAGCTTTACTCTGAATAGAACAATCAGTGGGCAGAGCAAGGCTCTGGTTGGCAGAAGGACACACTGACCTTGGGCCCACTGCCTTTCC